ACAACAACAACAACAACAACAACAACAACAACAACAACAACAACAACTCGCCCAAACTCTGAACTCCAACCCCAGAAGATTTTTAATTTGGGTTGCCAGAAAGACTAATCACGTGACGTGTCACAAACAGGTGCACGAACGCACGTGCACACAAAACGCGCAGAATTCTGCATTTGATGCTTTTAACATGAACTACAAGGCAATAAATGAAAAAGGAGAACACCGCCACGTTGAAATGAACTCTAATCACGCGAGTTGTCCGGTTCGAATCCCACCATGTCAGGCTCATGGGCCGTGCCCAGCAGAGCCAGTTAGTTCTTTACCTCCACACGGAGCTCTGCGGTTCTGCTGCAGCTCTCAGGCCGGCCGATGCCACTCATGCCCCGCTGAAGCGTCTACAACCCCTCCGTGTCTCACGCGGTTCCGCTGCAGCAGCGGCTCCCTCTGCGCATGCGCACAGCCTGCAGAGCCGCATCTTGGGTTAACCGCTTGGTGCCCCCAGCTCTGCCGCTGGTGCCCCCAGCTCCGCTGGTGCAGGTCCAGTTTGAAGCTCCCTGAGCTGAACTTTGGCTGGATGAAGGAACTAGTGATTTTTATATACGAACATACTTTTTTCATTCAACCTTTATTTTGACAGGTAAATCCCATTGAGCCTTGATATTACCTGGTCGTTGCTCCAGATATTAATTCACAAAGTTTAAAAATTCACTCAGCTACTAATCTAAGCTCAATATCCATAACATTCAGTTTTGTGTATGATTAATTAGCTATGGCCGCCATCTTGAAGTTAGAGGACTCCAAAACTGTATCATTTGTAGATGAAAGCAGATTTCTTTCTGAATAAAACAGTGATTGATGAGAAATTTTGCTAACAGTACAGATTGAATGGTCAGGCAAAAAATATTAATCGCTCTTCTTTCATCTTTGGGGACATGAAAAAAATAAATGGCGAACTTGGCAGTCGTCAGACTGTGATGTCACTTTGGGGATCAAACTCGTGTTTCTGGCACCACAGTGGGCACCCAGTCAGAAAGTGGTGAAACCTCCAGCTCAAACTGGGAACATGACCAAAAAAAAAGACATTGACCACCAAGATCTCAATAATAGGGGAGTGGTGGCCAGAGGTTGGAGGTGAGCCAATGATCGGAACGTCGCTGGTTCGACTCTCCGGAACGACATCAAAATGTGGGTGGGAAAGGTGAAACAGCCACACCTGCCTCCACATTTGTGCTACTCTGGACCCTTGAGCAAGGCCCACCATCTGGTCCCAAACAGGCCTCTGATGAAACCGAGACCTCGTGACTCAATGATACTTCCTGGATAAATAAAGTTTGAATAAAAATTTTTAAAAAGCAGCTCTCAATCAATTTTGTTTTTGTGGTTGGAATCCACTAAATGGTAAGAAAGTTTGACAGAAAATATGTTTTTATAAGTTTAATAGTGGCGGTAGCTTTTAATGCAGGTGGTCAATAGATTTGATTAAAAGCTGAATATACGTTAACACACGTCAAACACATGTATGTGACGGTCATTCAGCTACTGCACCTGATCTGAAACACTCTTGAAAACGTCTCATCTTTCCCACACTTCTCCCACGGCACAGCCAGCGTAATGAGTAGAACGCAACTGATAGTACACGGAGTACTTGCTGAAATACGCACAGTCTTCTCTGACGGGACCACATCGTTGTAAAATCTGTATGAACTCTTGTGCATCGATGGGCCTTTCCAGATGTTTGATCCCAAACGCTCCACTGACAGGCTCACACTTCAATCCCTGGTTGACAGAACAAATAGGTGCTACATTTACCATCGTTTATTGTTGGTAATTATTGTTAATTGTGTGTAACAATTCATGTCTCAAGACACAAAATGGCTACGAGAAATTTACTGGAGCTTCACTGCTCCCTCAAAGTTTTACATTTTCAGCCAATCCTGTCTCAGTGGGACAGTGAGAAGTCTGACACAGAGTCTTCTGGGCTAACCTGAATACTAAACGATGACTGGTCGATTACTGGGGGGGGGGGGGGGGGGGGAGGGGGGGGAAGAGGTGTAGAGTCTCTGCTGACTGCAAACAGTAGATCATACAGCACGGTGCAGAAGGGACACACCGATGAGAAAGCTTCTGCATTTCTGCTGCATTTCTAACATCCTTCTACCAATATACCCACCGTCCCTCCTCCGGACACGTCCAAACCACCGTCCCTCCTCCGG